TACATAGCCCATAAAATATTTCATCCGCGAATCACTATTCAACCTCTAAGTAATTACTTAAATTCATATAAAAAATCCTTGCTATATGTAAGAAAGGTAATTGGAATTATTGATATTATACAAGGAAATAATGATATAACAATATTAATTTTGAAGCATGAAAATTTTAAAATTTCATAGATTAATATATTGGATTTTATATTTTTTCACCTATGTGATGTATCACTGCTTATAAGATCATGTGTAATGTGAAATTAAAATATTGAATAATAACGTGCTGATTTAAGGTTATGGTTAGCATTAGTAGTGTGGCTTTAAAAAATAAAAATTCTAACCTAAAATTTTGCAAGAAATTTTTTTAATTAGAACTTAAGAGGCGGTTTCATAAACAAAATCTTGAGTTACAGACGATTTTTCAAAAAGACCATATTTTGTTTTGATTTCACGTTAATTGGTCGATCAGAGGTAGCATACATCGCTATACGATAAATTACAATACCCTTATATATTTACCTGCCTTATAACAAAATTTATCTTTAATCATATTTTTTAGAATGTTTCGTAGCCTTATTATTAGTTTTAATCACCCCTTTTCTATGGAATTCTTTTTGGTCTAACTGACAGAATTCACATAACAGATAAATTTGCTTGAACCGTTCTTTTAAAGACTGAGGAGGAGTTACCAGATCTTCTCTACTTCCACAATAATAGCAAATCAGATAGTTTTCTTTACGACTTGAGTAGTACAATATTTCAATTGGTGAATTGCAATTAATCTGCGAACGTACGAATATAACTTCTTTTAAGTAATAATCATCAAGAAAAATTGGTGCGCCACAGAAGTATAAATACGATTCTAATATTTGTTGATAATCCTGTTGTTCTTTATTAGTTAAATACTTGTTACTGTATACATAATGACATTTTTAGCAATTTTCACAATCAATATAACCACAGATTTTTTCGAAAATTAGGATAGATTTTGGAATAGACTCTGAATTCGCCTTTGACTGAATATATGTTGGCCTATATTCTTCTGTAGTTTTAGTACTATAAACTTGTTGAAAAGTTGTATAACGATCTGTATTATCTAATTAAATTTGTTAATATACAGTATATGTATACATAATTCTAAAAAATAATATAATTTACCTTTTGAT